GTAGTAGAGAGAGAGAGAGAGAGAGAGAGAGAGAGAGAGAGAGAGAGAGAAGAGAAGAGAGAGAGAGAGAGAGAGAGAGAGAGAGAGAGGAGGAGGGGGAGAGGAGAGAGAGGAGAGGAGAGAAGAGGAGAGCAGTGAAGATAGGAAAGAGAAAGGAGGGCGACCGTGGCGAACGGGACGGAGAAGAAGGGAAAGAGCGTCAGAGGAGTCGAGGCACTCGCGGCGCAAAAAGCGAGGATGCAAGCAAAAAGGAAGAGCGCGACGAAGAAACCGGTTTTTTCCAGTTGGGCCAGGTCGGGGCGTCGAACCTAGGGACCGCAGCCTCCCTCCGAGAATAACTTACATGCAACGGCGGCGGCGGCGGCGGCGGCGGCGGCGGCGGTGGCGGCGGTGGTAGTGGCGGCAGTGCACGCCGCCAGTGACGCCGTCCTCGTCGTCTTCTCAACGCGTTCGCGGTTGCCCCAGGTTCGGGATAAAAAAGGAGATAGAAGGCATAAGTATGCCGGCGGTAGGCCACCCACTCGCGAGTTTATCGCGGGACAGGAGTGGAGCCGAGCCAAGCAAGAAGAAACACGCGCGAGAACACGCGTATACGCGAACGACGAAACAGAGTCGGAGGAGGGGAAGGGGGAAACCGGAAGGAAGAAACCGAAATTGATACGACGAGGCGATTATTGTCTGATTGATATCTCCCTACCTTCGCTCTTTTCTTTTCTATCCTTCCCGGCACGCCGACTCGCTCGTTTACGAGCGGGAAGAGTCGGCAGAAAATCAGGATTGCGATGGCATCTGGCACGTCGTTAAAAATGTCGAGGAAAGGAGGAAGTACGAAGAGGCTCTTCATTCTTTAGATGAGCATGTGTATGTACTTATAAAGAAGATACATCTCTTCTCTTCTCAAGAGGAATAAAAGTCTATAAAGGCGAGTGCGTAGAAATAAGTCCGCGTTTAAGAGATCCGAAAAGCGGAAAATCAATAAAGAAAGAAAAAAAGAACTGAAAGAAAAAAATATCGTCAAAGTCTAAAAAATGTCGAGATTATCGCCGCCAGAACTTATATTTTATAGCCTCTCTCTGTTCCGTGTTCGTCGCCTCAACGCGTTCGCGATTGTCCCAGGTCCGGAATAAAAAGAATCGTAAGAGAGATTCGTGGCGAGATATGTAGAAGGGAGCGAAGGCAAAAAGATATGGGGAAAAGAAGAAGTCGCGAATCGGAGAAGCAAGAACAGGAAGGAAGAGAGGAACGGGGGACTCCCCGAAACTCTTTGGGGTCATTGCCGTCCGGTCTCGTTTTAGCCCGTTCCTGCCCGTTCACAACCTTCTCTTTCTTTCGCGCCTTTTTCTTTTTCTTCTTCCTCTACTACCGTTTTAAGCACACTCTTTCGAGCAAAGTACGGTCGCGGCCATGTTTTTCTTCGAACGCGTGTATACCTACCGCCTTGTATGCGTGCAAGCAACCTTCGCGTGTTCAGATAGAAAAAGGGGGAAAAAAGAGTACTGATGTAAAAAGGGGGGACAACAGAGAGAATGAGAAAAAAAAGACACGACGAGGATAATGCGGTCGGTGCAAATCGGTTCCTTACCGCGTGGCGAGCCAGAAAATGAAGGGAAAAAAAATCATTCTATCTGGCAATGAGGACGTCGAATTTCATTTAGAATTTCATTTTAATCCTGATTTTTCATATGGCCGTTGGCAGCACAGCTGATTTGTCAAAATGAAACCACGCGATAAATCTTATTTAACGTTAACGCAAGCATAAACCAGAGAAAAAAAAATAGAAAAGGAATGTTGATACGAGCCAAAGATGTGCTAGCAGCGGTCATGGTAGTTAAAACTGATGTATGGTACAAGCTAGTCATTTCATGCTTCGCATTCCTGTTCATGGGTGAGGTCGCACGGGGTCGATCGGAGGTCCAAGGTCGACGAAAGTGCTCGCTTTGTTTTCGCAATGCAATGTCTGGCATCGGCCTTTAGGTTCCGTACGTGCGAGACGAGGCCGATGCCGACAGAGCATTAGTCGGTGAAATCCCTAATCGCGGTTAAGGATTAATCCGCTCCGATCGTTCTCCAGACCCCACGCTTCCACATATTTGTCTGTCTAGGCTTCGCTTCAAGCACCCCGATCACTGTACCCCCCTTCACGTTTCGTCCTATTCCTCCAGTCCTCATCCTCCAGCCGAACCGAGTGCTCTGATCTGGCATTAAAGACAATATTTTTAATCGGTCAAGACTCTTCCTACATCTCTATCTTTGCATTTGTATTATAAAGTTTCGAAAGTACAAAAGTAGAATCAGTAACAAGCGTGTTTGAGAAAAGCATACATGGGCACAGTATTCCTCACAGTAGTGATACATTGGAGATTACGAATGTAATTCCAATAATATCCCTTATTTTATGCCTTATTCCTATCCTGTAATGTTCCAAAGAGCTAACTATGATCTTTTCATTCAGCAATGATCCACTTGCCGCAATCTAGAATTGTTTGCTAAAACACATTCTTTTGCAGTATTAAAAGATAATAGATTTCAGTTAAACGCAACACATTACAAAGAGATTCCAAAGATAAATATTTAAAAGTTTAAATGCCTCTCATTCGGTAAACAGTAAATAAATTGCGGCAGTAAATGGATCGCTATCGAAGGAAGGTATCGGGTATACCTCAACAGAGAAAACTCTCGTCTTTTTTTCTGTTTTGTTATCTCGATTCTTTTCGATCGCACTTGACCGACTGGAAACCCAGCCAGGGCGCGATACCACAAAGTTTCTACCAGACACACTCGACATGAATTCCCTGTGCAAAGGAGTAGTCTGTGGTGGCGGCGGTTTATTGGTGCCTTAACTCTCACTGGTCAATCGTTCTGTTCTGTGCCCTGCCTGTCCTGCGCTTCTGGTTCGCAACTCTGTGGTGGTATTCTCTGGGTCGGCTCTCTACTACCGGTGCGCCGCGTGCCTGCTTCCGGTACTTCCTCTTCCGGGCCCCCAAAAAAGGAGTTGCAACAGCGTGTTGTGTTCCAGCAACACGCCGCCCTGATCGGCGGCCCGAACGCAACCAGCTGTCCAGTATGCCACAAGCTTTTCCTCGGCGGCGAGGCGCTGATGGAGCACATGAAGCACACCCACAAGGATCCGAACGCCTCCGGAGTTGCCAGTAAGTATTGAGAAATCGCGTATCAACCGCCCTCTCGGTCGATCGTCTATGTCTCTCTTCTTTCCCCTCGTGTTGCTTACCACTTCTATTCGTATTCACGCGCCTACTAATCTTCGTTAACCATAACCGATCGATTAACTGGAATCCAGCCGCGTCTCGTAAGCGAAGTGCATCGTTGCATGAAGCGAGCTTGAGAACGAAACCTTGACCATGTCGTTCCTTACTGACTAATCAACAAACTTAATACCAAATCTTCTTCGCGTTCGCGCATTAATTTTCCGGACGAAAGACCTGACTCTGTTCGCTGTTAATCGCATTTAACCTGAGCTATTAGCCAGATTCCTTAACCGGGATCGCGGGGAGCCCTTTAAAGGTTTCGAGATAGAGAAACAGAGAGAGAGAGAGAGAGATAGAGAGAGAGAGAGAGAGAGAGAGAGAGAGAGAGAGAGAGAGAGAGAGAGAGAGAGAGAGAGAGAGAGAGAGAGAGAGAGACGAGAGAGAG